AATTGGTTTAAATAATTTAATTTAAAAGCTTAACGTAAGATTTTTTTAATGTGAGATAAAAAAATTTAAAATATTCTTTTAAACTTCAATATTTACGATATGTATAGTCTATATTTATATGAATTTTTTCTTAATTTCTTCATATAAAATATTAAAAATTTATTTTTTTAATTGTTGTGGGTTAACCTAAGTTAACTTGGGTTGACTATAAAATCTGAAATCGAGTTTAATAACTATGATAATTACATTTTGATGATTAAAAATCCCTTGGACACCATTGAAAGATTTTTTTTTGCTTTTAAATGTAATTTAGTTATTTTATTATGTTTTAAAAAGCTAAAATTTTAAACAGATACTACAAGTTAATTAAAGAAATTATGTTTTTTTAAGACTAATTTAGTTATAATATTGTGTTTCAAAAGCTTGAATTTAATAATGATTAATTGACCATGTGGAAAGATCTCATTACCCAAAAAAACAAGATAATTTTTTTTATATATATATATAGAATGATAATTATATTATGAAGATGAGTATAATTTATATCTATGAGCACACTGAATTCTCCTTGTCTTTCTTTCGGTCTTTTTTAAAATATATTCTAGATCCATGACGTCTTTAGTCATGAAAACATGCATAAACAAATTTTATACACACATTGGTCGCATGTTCCTTCACTGCTCATAGCATCCACCGTGATCTCTAGCTCGTGATTTTCCATCTCCAAGGAGATGAAAATGGAATATTAATGATTCCGTGTGCCGTAATATTCAGTGGTTTCTTGGAGATAAATGGGAAGCAACCCTTTTTATTAATTCTTGTATCAAAAGTCTGTGTGTATTCCTGATTTCTTTAACTTGTTTCCATTAATTTATTTTTTCAGAACAAAACGAGACTGGAACTGGATAACCCGAAAACACAAGTTTCCAGCGGAGAAACGATATACATCAACTTTAATTTCAAGTCTGGGGTCTGCTCTTTCTTTTGATCGGACTCTGAAAATCTCTTAGTTTCTTCTATTTTTATATTATAATTATAATAAATAAATATTATTTTGGTAGAATAAATCAATGAATTAGAACATGTTATTAGGAAATAAGATTCCACACACGAAACTAATTTCTGCCCCCAGTGGCAACAGTCACGCATCAATTTAAGTTTTCAAGAGAGAAATTACTACAAATTAGCACATTATTTGACTTATTGTGCTAGCCAGGACTTAATTTCTTTTCTTATCTCCACTTAGGTGATTTTCAGATTAACCTCCACAGCTATAAACCATGACACGTCCCTTAAGCAAGCAATGCCCAGAATAGACCTCTCAAATAAAGGAAAAGGTCAAATAAAAACATCCACTATGAATAAATACAGGTTCAAATTGGGATTAAGAGATAGCTTCTTTTGTAGTTTCAGGTTTGAGTCCTTAGTTGCTCATATGATGGTCATTGGAGGCTTATATGGTCGTTAACTTCAGGGCCCGTGAAATTAGTCGTGGTGCGCGCAAGCTAGTCTGGACACCGACGTTAATCTAAAAAAAAAAAACAAGTTCAAATTCAATTAGATTTCCCCGAACTCCCTCTGGTTTGGTCGGGCCACCAAGCCCATGTCTTGCTACCAGCTTATGCACCCACTGGCCTTCGGCTAAGCCTAGCTTCCGGAAACAGCCCAGAGCCTAAATTGAGGTTGGCCCAACCAGGTTTCGGCTTGTGGCATCGTGTGTGCCCACTGCCCAGACATTCCAAACCCACCGCCAACACCTGGCAATTCCAAGGACCTTAATATACTTTTGTGTATTACTAGTTGGTACCTTTAGTTTTGTGAAATTTACTTTCTTTTAAATTTTATTTGTACCTTTATATTTTAACACCTGAATAAAATATTTCAATTTAAATTCTTAAATATATCATTATTTTTATAATTTAATTTATTATTATTTTATTTTTTATGATCTTAATTTTTATTAATATCAGTAATACTATCCAGGATTATATATTATTTTATAGTCTAAGACTAGTATGATATCAAAACTTCACTGACAAAACAAAAATTGCTATAATCTTATATCTATTTGAAATAAGATAATTTTTTATAAAATGATTTAATTTATTTTTTCACATTTTACTCGTTGGAAAAGCCATAGATATATTTGAATTAGCAATAGTTCTTGACTTAGATATTAAAAGGTTGTTACAAATTTGAGTTTAAATATTGACTTAATAAAAGTTAAGAATTTTAACTTTTAACTTGTAAATCCCGACTTATATTACATCTCATCGTTAAAAAAAAAAAAAACTTGAAATCATCTTTGCCAAGCATTCTTCTAATCTAAAAGTTATTTCAACTTATATTTATCATAAATTATTTTTAACAAAAAAACAAATGTTAAATTATAACTTAAGGTAAAAAGAAATCATTTGTCACAAGTCATGTCAAGTAAATAATAAATGAATACGATCCACTTTTATAGTAAAATAGAAAATTAAGGGATCAACAATGGACCTTGAATCTTTTTGAAATGACGTATAAAAAATACGTGCCTTTGATATTGAATCGTGGTATAAAGAAGTTGTTCTTTATAGATAAAAATAAGTTGAAATGACTTTTATGTTAAAAGCATAATCACTCAGAAACTTTTTTAAAAAATATATATATACAAGAAAATAAATTAATTTGTAAAAATCATACCTGGAATCTTTTTACAACATTGTATATGACGGAGAGTTATCTGCTGAAAAAACAATACAATAATGTTGGAAAGAGAGAAGAAAGAAACGATCACAAAGTGCAAGAAGAGTAGAAGGTGCGAAAGGATTAAAGCGTGTGTATCCTCATGAGGAAAGTCCAGGAACATGCAGGCAATTAGGCTAAAAAGCCCGCTCTTGGGCTTGGAAGAAAATCCAGGAAGGCCCACTCCCTCTTCTTTGATCCACCTCTAATTGAAGAAAACCACCGTCTTCGGTTTTTTCCTTCCTCCTTTCCCCTTTCTCTTCTCATACCTGCGTGAAAAGTATAGTGTATATATTTTGTATCAGGGAGAATAGCAAGCAATGATAGGAGGAGGTAAAATCCGGCTGAATAGGTGGCAACAGGCGGCGGTTGCGGTTGGTTCCGCTGTGGGTGCGTTGTTAGATCCACGAAGGGCGGATTTGATAGCGGCGCTTGGAGAAACAACTGGAAAACCTGCTTTTGAAAGAGTGGTTGAGAGAATGAAAAAGAGCCCTGAAGGAAGAGTGAGTCTCCTTTTCTTCCCGCCCACATTACACATTTATTCACCATCCGTTTCCTTGGTAGTAGTAGTTTATAATTACTGAATTAAATTATTAATCAGTAAAATCCTGATGCGATTCGATCTTGTTTAGTTGTGAACTATTCATGGTCGAAATTCTTTTTATGCCAATTAATACATATATATTGTCAGGCAAACTGAATTTGACAGGATCTCTGGGCTCTCCATTTATCACGAAGATCCAAGTGATTTCTTTTAAAAAGCTTTTAGGGAAGCATGTCATGGGTGAAAAATGAATTTAGTTTTGCAAGTCTTGTGGGATTGAATTTCTTTTTTATATCTTCTTTTGTTATGACCGTGATTGCTTTCAACTGGATGAACAGACAGGCACCTGATGATTGAACTTCGTATTACATCATAAAGAACCCACCTCTCTCTTTTTTTTCATTTTCTTTTTTTATTATCATTTTGAATGATAGGCAGTTCTCTTGGAGAGACCTCGTGTCATATCTGCTCAAGTGGGGCATGCATGGGATTTGCCAGCCAATACATTTGGTGCTGCCTATGCAAGATTCATGGGATCCAGGAACTTTTCCCCAGATGACCGTCCACCAGTGCGATTCATGGAAACGGAAGAGCTGGCATATGTTGCAATGCGAGCCCGTGAGGTGCATGATTTCTGGCACACCCTTTTCGGCCTGCCCACTAACCTAATCGGCGAGTCAGCGCTCAAGGTGATTGAATTCGAGCAAATGTACCTTCCAATGTGCCTGATGTCTGTTGTGGGAGGCACAGCTAGATTTACGGAGAAGCAGAGGAAATTGTTCTTCCAACATTACTTCCCATGGGCCATTCGAGCTGGCATGCAGAGCACAGATCTCATGTGTGTGTATTATGAGAAGCACTTTCAAGAGGATTTGGAGGATGTCCGCAGAAAATGGGGTATAACTCCCGCTCCTGCTGCCCCGAACCAAAATGTGGCTTGACCTGCAGCATTTGCAGGTGCTTGGGTGGAGGGTTAATGCATCTTTCTTACAACCACCTCGCTGTGTAACTGTGTGTGTATGCGAGAAGATGCACAGAAGGAGGTTTTTGGGGATAATAAAACGAGATTCACGGCGAGAGAGGCTTCTTCAATATCTTTAAGCATTGTAGAACATGCACGCCTTCTTAGGCAAGTGAAAACCCAAAGAAACGCACCCTTTTTTTGACCAAATACAAATGCAACTTGATATTAGACCAGGGGGTCTCATCAACTGAATTCATGGAACTCTTCTCCCTTTTAGTTTTCAACAAAATCTCACGGAATTCAAGATTAGGAGAGATAATTGGATTCAAACATGGATCGGCATTGTCTGATGTTAGTAGTTATCGCAATGTTCGGTCTTGTTTTTACAAGAATTTAGATTACTTATTGGCAACAAGCACCGCGAACCTTGGAGTGAGTTGTTCTGCTTCTGGCAATTTGTTCTCGTTGCTCACGAGCGGCAGTTGTCGTCCACTGGATCAAGAGAGGCCAATAATAATGCCAACTGCTCTCAAGTTTTAATGTTCTTCTCATCTTATAATTTTATTATTCCATTGTCAAAAAGGACACGCTTAAATTGAGATTCGTCCCACCAATGCATTGCACGAACCATACCCCCTCGCAACACTCGGTATGATACCTGGAGCTATCAGAGGAATACGCTGGCTCTGTTCTGGTAATCCAAAAGAAACAACAAAAAAGACCAGTAAAGTGAGAGTTTTAAAAAAAAAAAAACACTGGCTGGGGTATTAGAAACATACAGATGCCCAGGCATCTAAATCCCACGATCTTGATTGAATAGTTGAAACAACAAAGATAACACCTATATATTACACAATAGGATCCCACAAATTTGCATGGATTATATTGGAGATGAAAGCATGGTTTGATTCAAACTACGGGTCCACAAAGATTGACAAACAGAACTCCATACGAAGACATGATGGCATGTGTCAGTTGCTACCACCACCAAAGAGGTATCCCAAAGAAGATCCACCACCAGGAGCAGCATGGACCTTGGTTGAAGGTCGATCCTGAACCAAAGAAAAAGTTTTTAGGTTGTTAACAACAACTACAAGAAACAACCATTTTGTCTTTCATGAAATACAATTCAGTTATAAAGAAATTGAGCAAGTAGCTTAAATTGGCCGTTTAAAGCACATTCCAGAAATAGTTTTTAGAGCACCGTAGTTAATTTTAGTAATAGCAAATCATGTAGTTCAACTCCGCCTTCTTTCAACTTTCATAATGTACCCATTGAATCTAGTTCAAATGAAACCAGAAGAATACATGTAGCTAACATTGGTCAGAAACATGTAGATTGGAAATGCAGAAGGCCAAGAGCTTAATTGGAAGTAGTTCTTGCTCAGCTCCTATGTTAACTCACTCTAGGAATCCACACCCAACCTCGAAACAAATGGCTAACTGCCTCTATCCTACCCATCTAGCCGCTTCTGGGTCCCTATTTTACTGGAACGGCTTGTATGAGTATCTATTTATCAAGCCTTGTACATTGTAAACCATGAACAATATCTAGTTACCCATTACACTATAACCCATGCATTCACAGAGAGAGAAAGAGAGAGAGACAGACAGAGACAGAGACAGAGACAGAGAAAGAGAACTGCTTTCATAAGCTTGGATATGCCTAGGGCTTAGAATAGGAGCCCTATCTTACTGTGTCCAAGGGACATCTAAAGGAGGCATGGAAAACCACAAAAAAATAACCCTGCTGGAACTTGACCCAGAAGTATTATTCATTCTTCTTGGGGAACAAAAATGCAGTTTGGTAGTTACAAGGACAATGACATCCTTGTATATTTATGCCTCTGAGATAGTTCCTAATCATTCACAGGATATTGCCTATCCATTTCCAGAAGACAGATGAATCTTTTAGAGATCTCATCACAGAGAACAGTGGCATGTCATGAATCTAAGCAAGTTTTATCCACCCAAACCAGCATGGACAACTGATACAATTGCACCAAGAGCAAAGGTTTGGAGAATCATACCGTGATGAAGTTGCCAGTGTTCTGACCATCTGCCCTCATATAGTTGTTTGCAGAAGTACTGTTGATACCAGCAGGAACCTGTTTATTGATATCTGCTGGCTGAGGAGCTGCAGCGGGTTTGGAAGGAGGCAGGTTATTTGCAGGTAGGCTCTCGTTTGGAGCAGCTTGGGCATTGTTTGTGCCAGGTTTTGGAGCCTCTCCACTTCCAAACAGATAGCCCAATGAACTCTGCCCTCCACCAGCGCTAACTCCACGACCCATATCTAAACTTTACAGAGAAGGAAATTTAAACCCTGTTTCCCAAGCCAAAAACAAAAGCAAAACGCCAAAATGAACAAGGAATGAAAATAAAAAAGAAGATAAATTCTGGGAAATGGCATGTGTCACAATATGGAAAAAGAAAGATAACAAAAGCATTATGAATAACCCACATCACCTACTCTGATCGCAGCGTGGTAACTTAAAACATCTAGAGACCCATTAACCAATTTCCAAATTGCCAGTTGAAATCAACAAGTTTACCATCACTCTTTTAAACAAACAAACACCATCCTTTAATTATTTATGCATTCCTATTCATAACCCCCCCCCCCCCTCCCCACCCTTCCCAATCCCTTCCTAGGTAGCTAGCTAACACTCACGTCATAACAAACGCTTGCTTACCACACATAAATACACGATGAAACTAGAGTGAGCAAAAAAACCCAAAAAAAAAAAAACAAGAATTATGCATAGGCACAGCTCGCAAATCAACAACCAGACCCAAAACTTAAATGAAAGCAGAAATCACAAACAATTCAACACCAATGTGTATTGATTTATATCAAACTAGATCCCCCTAAATTCGGTTGAATATTACCACAGACCATAAAATCCTATCCAAAATTTCGATTTTTTTTTTAAATACAGTGATACGGAAGCCAGCTAAAACAAGAGAAATGTCTGAATCAAAAGCCAAGAAAAAATAGCAGATCTTAACAAAACAAGTCAATTACCAACCAATCAATGAATTTTCTAAATTAGAGAAGAGAATAACATGGCATCAAAGTGAGAGTGGTTAAAAAGGAAAACTTGGCAGCATCGATTCTGTATGTAAGTAAATCTGAGATCTAAAGAGTTACAGTTTCGCGGAGATACCTTTGAACGACTTCGATCTAATCTGCGTAGAGACAGAGTAGCTGCAGCTCAGACAGTAATGTAACTGCTGAAAGAGTGAGGTGGAGAAAGCGATAGGTAAACGTTATATTTATAGACTCTGGATAAACGTTTCGATTTTTGAACTTATTGACAAAATTTAAAAATTGATAGGCCCCTGTTTATTACTTTTTCTTTTCTTTATGTAAGGGGACCTTTTATTTAAAAAAAAAACAAAATGATGCTGAGCTTTTTTATGATATATAAGTTAGTATTTAGGTTTGAATAATTTTATACAATATTTTTTTAATATTGTAAATAAAGTTAAAAGATACAGGAAAACATTGTTTCCTCACCTTCATCAGCATAATATTAGTTTTTTTTGTTAATTTTTTTAATTTAGTCATTATATAATATATTTATTGGAATTTAAAATAAATAATTTATTTTAATTTATTTTTATATTGTTATTATAATATCAAAAAAATATCTTGATATCGATTTGATATCAAAAAATATCTCGGCATCACAATATTGTATAGTTTTTAAAACATTAAATTAAATAAATAATAATTAAAAAACTAGTTTATTAAATTTTATAAAGTCAATAACCTGATTTATAAATTTTGAAAAATAATCTTGATTACCACTATTTATGGGTTTAGCAGAGTACCTTTTCTTTCTTCTAATTAAACTTAATTATGTTTGTTAATTTTCTTTATCATATAGTTAATAACATAGTTTTGGAAAAAAACATGTTATTAAGTTTTAGAAAATCTATGGGTTGTTTACGTGTATGAAAAGTTTAAATTTATTTTTTATAGATTTATTTTTTTATTTTCATTTCTTGACATTAGACTAATTAAGAATTAATATTCAGAATTAATTTTATTTTATTTTCTATAAGGTTATCATAATCTTAAATAAAAGTCTCAGTATTGTATTGATGCTCTATTTTCCGATCATCTATTTTTTTTATATAGTCAATTAAAAAATACTATAAGGGGGAAAAGTTATTAATTTCAATGGAGCTTATTACTTGATTTACGGGTTTGATGTATTAATCTAAATTATCTAATTCATGGATTTAGTGAGTTTACTCATCAAATCTGATATTGTATTTTTTTTATTTCACTCTTATTTAATATTGAATTGATTAAAAAATAAAATTCATGATTTATTTTTTATCCTTTTATAGGGTTATCACAATCTCAAATAAATGTGTTTTTAGGGTTGATGCTCAATTTTAAAAGCATCTAATATTGTCATAAAATTAAATAAAAACAATTACTAAAATAACAAAGTTATTAAACTCATTAAAGTCCATAACTTAGGTCGTAGGGTGACCAACATCAATCTAATTTGACAGCGTCTCAATATAAAAAAATTATATTTTTAAAGTTTTTTTAAAAGTTATGTCATGTTTTTTTATGATCATATAAGTTGTCTTTGAGCCTATTAAATTAAATAATTCACCTTAAATCAACTCCTACACAATTTAATTTAAAATTCAAGTTAGATAATAAGTTAGGTGGATAGATTTTAAAACCAAACTACTTAATTGGATTTTATAATATTATAAAAAAATATATGCCCAACAATTTTTTTAAATTTTTTAAAAGAAATAGTCTCACATTGCAGCGACAACGAATATACTAATATCAATTTTACAATGAATGCCTTATTATATAAAAAAATAATTTAATTTTAAGTTAAAAAAAAAATCAAAAAGTAAATTTGAAATTGGTTAAGTCTTCTCCTGTATTAGTATAAATCCCATTTGATTTGTTTCTAATTTTGCTAAAGAGTCGTAGCTAAATGGTATATTGCAGCTAGTCACCTACCACACTTGTTACTATGTTTAATAAATTTAATTTATTTACCATAATAAAAAAAAATCTCATGATTATATACTATTTTCTCTTTGATTTATCGAATGATTTATGGAGTTACATACGGCAAGAACGGAGTTTTTAATTTGGACATCCTATAATTAATTTTTTATGGACTTAAAAATCATGGGTGCAATGCATAAAATAGAGATACTCTCTAAGAAATTAAATGCTGCATACATGCACTCAGACTGTAGTATAAGAAAATGTTTCTGTGTTAAAATATTTCTTTGTTATTATAAACATGTATTTCTTTGGTAATTGGAAAACATATTGTGTGAATAAAAACATTCTAGGTTGGTTCTTCTCTGGTTCACTCTATTTTTATACGATATATGTGCTTCATAGTGACTATATTTTTTATATCGTCTTAACTGAAAGCTTCATGATAATAAACATAAAATTAAATAAAACACAAAAGAAACCAAGCAAAAAAATTAAAATTTAAGATTTATGTATAAACTTTGAAATACTCGGATCTTCTTCCTAATTCAGGTTTCACTTTTTTATTTTTTATTTTTTGTATATACAGATATTCCATCCCAAAAAAGTTGTTAATTCTTGTCATTTTTATTATTGAGATTTATTTATAAAACACTATTTTATGTGGATATTATTCGAAAACATTGCTTATGTTACTATCATGTTTATTCAACAATTTAATAACTTTATTTATTTTGAAAACAAGTTTTCATTTAAAAGTTATATTCGGATTATATATGATGTATAATTAATTTTTTGTAATCTTCAATTGTTAAATAAAAAATTTATAGAGTTGGCCCCTTTTTTCGCCAAGACCTAGTAGTAGTGAGGCCAAAGCAACGTGCAAAGATGAGCCTTTATAGATACCTAATTGATGGTTATTTCATCAAGCATAATTCATGATATCAAATCTAGATAGATACCCAGCTGTGATATATTTTTATCAAGATCTAAATTTATTAAGTTTGATAATAATATCATATAAAATAATAGTAGATCTAAATGCCTATTAAGATCTAAAAATAATGGGTTCAACTATAACATGATTAACTAAAATGGATCTTGCTCCACTAAAACCAAGTAATGGTGAGTCTAGTTAAAGAAAGACCCATTAAAGTTGGGCCTCGCTCACTAGAACCCAATAGCAATAGGGCCAAAGCAATAAGCATAACCCATTTATGATAGGTATTGTTATCAGTAAGATCTAGCAGCGGTGGACTTAAAGCTTCGAACAAGACCCATTAAAATTGGATTCTGTTGTCACTAAAACCAAGTAATGATACGTCCTCCATCCAACCCCATTTGCCAGTAGGACCCATCTGTCGAGTCAACCCAGAACTAAGACAACCAGGTAAAAACCGGGTAGAGTACCTTTTTTAATTTTTTTTTACCTAGAAACCCTTTTTTTTCATATTTTTCAGTTGATTACTAACTCATTTTAAAGTTCACTATATAAATATTAGAAAAATATTTTATTTTTTTAATATGAGACTTGAAGCTCTGTAGTATATATCATATATGTTTACAAGAAAAAAATTATGTTTTTTCAATGTAGAATAAAAACTTTTTTGATTTAAATACTTTAACTTAGAAGAATAAGATAGTATCTTTTTAATGTAAAATAAAAAATTTTATTGATTAAAATACTTCAACTTAGAAGAATAAGATAGTATTTTTTTAATATAAAATAAAATAATATTTTGAAGTAATATTTTCCACTTAATTGTTTACAAGATATATAGTTTATATTCATAATTTCTTAATGTTTATATAAAATGTTAAAATATTAAATATTTTGTTTTTAATTTTCTCAATTTTTTAATATGTGTAACCCAAAATCCAATCTCTTAATCACATCAATCTTCCAGACAAGTTTGATAACTTGTCATGAAATATATTTTTTTGATTTGTTATACTTTTTCAACTGTCAAAATACATTGAAAAAATTTACACTAATAACTTTTTATAAAAAATAAAAATATTTGCCCGCGACGGAGGACTTCTGACATAGCTAGTGCTCTGTATTACACATGGGGAACGATTGATGGCATATTCATGCGCATGTTCTTTAACAATTTCTAGGCTGGCTAACTTCGACCACGTACGGCATAAATGAACCATGCCAAATTCTCCATATCCGAACCAGCTGCTCCAATGTACATGTCTTCCCGCAGCCTTAATGCAATGCGAATTTAGATACTTTTAGATATGCTTTGATGGAACTTGTGATATCTCGACTAGTATCCTATGCAGCGCCTGGGGCTTCGAAAAAAATGGTGCATGATCAGAGCCCTTAAGCTCGAAAACTTGTGTTGGTGGATTTGATTTTATCATAGACTCCTGTAGAGGAACATGCAGGGCACAATCTCCTCGAGTTTTAATGTAAAACCTTGGAATGGAACCGTAGTTGTTGCTTGAAAGAAAGAGCTTCTCTACAACCGGTGCAAATGGGATAGGCCTCATCGATACTGATGCTAATGCTACATCCTGGTACACATAAAACCCTCATCGTTGAAATTCCAGTCGCTAGAGCAGAGATGTAATTTTTGGATATATATGGAACTATATATACCTTGGTGGAACTCTGGTTGAACCACGAGTCTCTTAACAATGCTTTGTCAATGACAATAGCAGTCGGAGGGTTATCCTTTCCATTGGCATAGATAAATGTCTGCGGTTGTCTTATCAGGTCACCGAAACCTGTCTGAAATAGGCATTGAATGATATAGTATTGTTAGTTCGAAAGTGAGCCAGTGTCATTAACTCATTGCACTGTTCCTAATGCACTTCATCACCTAATCTAGACTATATTTTTGTTCTCTTAAAAATAGTACAGCTAGAAGGCACTCATGGGTCCTAGTTCTGGCAAGCAGCAATTGCCAGCTTATATTCTTTAATAGCTTCTACCGACATTGCACAATCTAAGGCAACGCTACAATTTTTAGGGCTGGATTAATATCCAACGTCCATCAGAGGGTTTGGCCAGATAAATATCTACCAACTACCTAACTTCATTCACTTGGAAGCAAGCAACTGGGCTGTGTTTTTTGGTGAATCAATTCCTGTGACCGCAGCAGTGATATATGGTCCACATAGTCAAGGTTGTGATTGAATTACTCTCAAGACATGAAGGTATATTCTTGCTTAATATCAAAAAATGTATCACAGCACTAATTGTGAACAAACATCGTTCATAAGGAATCACTAAAGCACTGGTTCTCCATGGGTAGCAGCT